AGCTTTAAACGCATAAAACGAGCAACATTAACCCTTTGGGGGAGAATATTTTCAAACCAAAACGGCAAGCCACAATCAAAAGTATTTCAAAAGCAGAACGACGAGACCTACTGCGCCATGCATTGCGACAGATTGATTCAAAGAAAAAACAGTGGTTTTTATTTTGGAAGGAAAGGACTGGGCTTGACTTTGAAATATTTATCCGACCTCAAGCTTCAACATCAAATCTCACAAAAGATACCCATTGAAAGAGATTTTGCTTTACTTCTGTTTCATCTTGACATGATTGGTACCATACTTCAAAGATACTGCTCAGTAGGTTCAGAAAAGGCCCAGAGCTGTGGAACAAAGCTTCTTAAAGATGCATACAATTTCTTTCAAAAAGAAATGGAGAAAAATTTGTTTGCAAATGGTGTATTTGAACATTCAGATAATATATCCATCAAAACTGTAGACCCCGAGAGAGCTTTCGCATGGGTTTGGGAAGGGGCCAAAACTGTTCTCATTCAATCAAATGAAGAAGAATTAACAAAGATTCTATTTGGTGGCATGGAAAATAACTCAAAGGTTACACACCCTATTAAATGTTTCTTTACAGATGTTTTTGCCTATTCAATTGAAAAGATGAACAAACAATTATGTGATTATGTCTTACAAAATGTTTTATTGAGCCCAAAAAACAAAACAATTCCTATCTATCTTAAATAAACATGAAATTGTGGTCTTCCAGTTTCTGAATAAATTTTGATACAGTCTCTGGTAACATTAACAACCTCAAAACCTGATGAGACTGTTCCCACTTATCTACATATAACTAAAAAAATAGCCTCAGAGGGCCAAACAAACCGTCAGGCTTGAATAGTGCTTTCTATTGATTCTCATGCGGTTTCTAACGCCGGCGTCGATATTTCACTTTTCAATGTTATTTCTGACATTCACTAAGACTTTACTACAATCATAGCGACCTTCAAAATCAAAGGCTATTACACCATAGACCTTAAACAAGTAAAACCCCCAACATCCGGGGCAAAAACAAGCAGCCTCCCCAAATTTGGGGGCATATACTAGTCAGTTATAAACGTATATTTTATCACTTTTCCAATTTTCTATAATGAGTCACATATTCAACACCCCAAAGTAGAACCATAATGCCATTCAATTATATTACTTCTTGTTGAAGGGATCAAAATCATATAAATTCAAGCTAGCTTTCTTATCTGTAACCTTAAATGTTGCTCAAAACTGCCTAAATATCTTTTTACTTGTTGGAATACTCCTGCATAATCTGCAATTTTGGCTGGGACCTGTCAATTTGATTTTTAAGTATCCTGACAGGTCCCAGCCAAAATCTCAAATTATGCAAATAATTCAAACTCACTCAGGTAATTTTGAACACCCTATTAATTCCAAATCTAGAAAAATATCAGGCAGGTTCAAGGCCAACTTTGACCCCAAAATCATAAGGGGTCTTTGGGGTGGACAAACCTCAGCGAGAGTTGCATGGGATGGGATTTAGTCATGAATTTTTTGGAAGACATTCCAGATATGCAATTTCAGAGTTTGGGCTAGAGCACTCTTCAAATCAGGATTTCATTTTAATTTCTGAACTACTTCCAATATGTGCATTTTTTTGCTTTTTGATTGGGCTTCTTTTATTCCAATATCTACAGTTCTCACAATCTTACAAATTTTCTCCTGTCAATCAGAATTTTCTTTATTTTTTTGTTTTGTATTTTTTGCATTACAGACTTCTTATAATAAACATCCAAAAGCATTACTTAGCTGTCTTATAAGGCTCATGACCCATCAGAACATCTCTACACTACAGGTTCTGGGTTTTGAAACATTTCCAAAGTTCGTTTGGAAATGTTTTGAAAGATGCGCCTGCAGGGGCGGACGTCCTGGACCTTGGTCCAGGTACATTTCGCAATGCAATTCAAAAGGGATTCCAATGGTCTTTCGAAGAGCTTTCGATTTTTTTTTTGATATACTTTTGGAAAAGTTTTGGAATTCCCTAGTTCTAAAGTCGCCTCCGAAGCGCAACTTCGGAATGCTTCCGAAAGAGTTTTGAAAGACTTCTGTAGTAATTGGGAGGTTTTGGAACTCTTTTGGAACTGTCACAGTTCTGCAGTGGCACTCTCGGCTGGCTTTCGGATTGGCACCCTTGTCTCTTATAAGGGTTGCCCCGTTTCATCGTTCATGCTCAATCATTTATCTGCAAGTTTCATGATTTTGTATTTCTGCTATGTATAATAGAGAAAAAACCCAACTTCATACAAAAGAAAAAGAAAAAAAAAAAGATGAAAAACATTTCACTTCAATTGACCAATTGAACTCCATACAAAAGAAAAAGAAAGAAAAAGACAAAAAACATTTCAGTTTGATTGGTCGATTGATTGGTGTGTAATGAAAGAAATCATAAGAAAACACTAATATAAATGAACGTATATGGGACTGAGCTTGAGTAAACGGTGGTAGTACTGGAGGGGTGCTTATGTGAAGGTAGCAGAGGAATGGGCAGTTTTTGGATCTCGGTGAGGTGAGTGGGGTGAGCGAGCCAGACTGAGAATTTGTCTGTTCTTGGATAGTGCCAGGTTAATGAAAAAGGACAGGAGATGACTTATAAGCTTAAGAGAAGTTGAGGAGAGCTCAAGGAAATTGTCAGAGGGGGAGATCAGGAGGTGATAATTCAAGATGAATGAGCAAGAGGGGACCAAGACACCTTGGTCAACAATCAAGCACTTTAAATACCCTCTCCAAAAAATCACATCTGTCAGCTGGTTTCTCCAACCAAAAAAAGCTTCAAAGTGCTTTCAACATTGTTTCGAACCGTTGGAGAAACCAAAGCATGGTTTGAAATTGTTACGAAAGGTTGGCTCCTCCCACCAAAAAACTTTTGGAATGATTTCTGAAGTGTTGTTTTAAACTTCTGATCCGGCAATATCCGCATAAAACCCGGAATCTTACTGGATCAAAATCTTAACCAGAAGACTTCGAAATAGTTTCAATCTTTTTTTTGCAACTTTTGTAAAAGTTTCGAAATTCTTACAAAAGCTGCTTTGAAATCACCAAGTCCATACATTTCAAACATTGTTTTGAAGCAAAACCTTAAAAGCAACCCCCGTAGTGTACATATCCAGATTCCAGCTTTGGATTGTTTTTTTTAGATAGTGGTGAATCATGCAAAGGTTATTTGAAAAAAAAAACCATCAATCAATTTTCACCAAATTGTCACTCTCAGCAGGCCACGATGATATGTAGTTATCAGAGCATCTCTAACGGTCTGGGGGTGGATCAACTCGACTTCAGAAGCCCAGGAGTAGATGTCCCAAGATGTCACCCACATGTCACAACAGTCCAAAATATGGACTGTGGATGTGGGCAGGGGTGGATCGAACCTGGCATTGAAATTTCCGTACACATGAAACATTTTTGTATTCTCTCAAACTCCTGCATTTTTTTTTCAATTTTCATTTAGTGCATTCAGTGAGAGATGCATCCCATTGTGTGCTTTTGGATTGCAAGACAAGAAGATAAGAGAGAAGAAGTGAGAGTTTGAAGCGAGAAGAAAGAGAGATTGTGTAGTGAAAGAAAGAAGCAAGAAGGCATGTAGAAACCAGGCAAGAGTGATGAGAGCGAGATACAACAGAGGAGCGAGCTACAACAAAGACAACAAATTGACTCTGGTCGATCCCTTTTGGGAGGCATGGTATTGGTGTAGGATGTGTCGCGATATGGGGTGTTGATATCAAGAAGTGCATAAAAAGGGGAAATGGGACGACGGGTGGACCGAGAGGTGGCTATGGCAGCTTGGAGGATGGGATGCCAAAGCCGGAGCCATCACCAGCTTGCTCAGCATGGCCGCTAGAGGCCAAAAAAGGCTCGTGGCCCGCTGAAGTCGGTCCCAGGTCCCGCATCAGCAGGGCCGTTAGAGATGCTCTCAGATTCAAGGCACTGGATCACAGTCAAGTCGATGACACCGGTGATGGATATGCATAATGCATAAGCATACCGGGCCATTGAGGTTAAAATGCATGACCCCCGAACCCTTGGCAGCTCTCCCCCGAAACGGCGCTCCACCAGCTGGAAGAACTCGCCGGTCGAACACCTTCAGTCATCTCCGCCACCATCACAGAACAGAACAAGCACCGACCATATCGAACAGGCAATAATTTGGAAAACCTCGTGCTCGTCTTCCGAACCTACCGTCAGACATTTACCCCCATCCTCTGATTCTCAAAATCCAACATGTAAGCTTCCGATTCGGATCTATTTCTTCGGACCAATCAGCTGACCTTATAAGTTTGCTTGCACATGATCATAGGCCTGCCTCAAAGAAAACGGTAGGACCATTCAAGCATTTTTCTTTTCTTTTCCTTTGTGAGGTTCTCCTCTGGGTACTGGCCGAACTGATTCCAGTTCTCGCTCCTACCGATCCTAGCTACGACAACAAGAATCCAGGAAGAAAGAGCTGGTCAGTCACCTCGTTCCTATTGGATCGTTGGAATACCTCTGATTTGGTTTTTGATACATAATAATAATAATAACAACTTGGATAAATGTTTATACAGGCTGGGACGAAAGTTGCGACTAATGCCGGAGGTACGATCTTCGCCGTTCCTTATCTTGCAAAGTTATTCCAAAGGCTCACTCCCAAACGTTCTGCCATCCTACTTCTCTTCCTCCACCAAAGGTATCCCCAAGAAGGCTGAAAAACCTAAGGCCCAATGTCAGATCTGCAGGGTAGAGTTGATCGCGACGATGCCAACGGTGCTCCGGGACCATGCATCGAATAAACATGTCAAAAATACATTTGAGCAATGTTTCCCCAACCTTCCAGTTTGAGTAACCCCTAGCCCTAGCTTGTCTTGGATCCCGATCTCTCTCCTGCCTCGAAAGCCAAATGGTCAAAGCTACTTGGCTGGAACCCCCCCTTTTTTTCCAAAATAAATAAATACACAAGCTGCTCTGTATTGTCTCCTTCCACCATTTACTTCTGCTCATTCATCTCGAGTCCTTTATTGGTGGGGCAAAGTGAAAAAGCTCAACAGAGTTCTGGGCCTAATTCTACATGTAGGGTCCCATCTTGATGGGGGGATCCTTTCCTCCTGCCCAACTTTCACTGTTCTTATATATAAATACATATACCCAACACTTTGTCCGCTTTTGCATCATGAATAACTTGTTATAACAACCAGCGTAAAACTCAAGTAAACCGCGAGATGTGGGATGCAGAGCAGATAAAAAGATGCCTGCTGGCTGAACTGCAGGAGAACATAAATTTGAGGTTAATTAAGACCAATTGATGCAGAGAGGATGTTTTATTTGATACAGGTCCTTTGCCGAGTGAGTGTGTCCTAGGACATGTATGTATATCAGTACCACTGGTGGCCCACTTTGGAATTTTCAACTCTTGACTTTTTCCCCTCCACACCCTTCCCTGAGGATTCAGGATGCCCAAGAGCCAGAAGCAGAAGAAAGCCAGAGCCGCCGACTTCACCAAGGCCAAACTCAAACTAGGAAAGGGCAAGCAGGTTGCCAACAATGCCACGAACACCTCGTACTCTTCCAAGAGTGAGTCCACCTTTCAAGTAGGAACTGTTCACAGTATACTAACTGTCCTCGGAGATTCGTAGCCATCGCTCTGCCGAACCAAAGAATTAGGACCGAGAACACCGCCATTCCTACAACCAAGTCAAACCTCACCCTCGATGACCTGATCGTTCGGCTGAGGCACTACAGTCCCAATACTCGTAAAGGTAAGGTTGGCTCAACTTTTCGAGTTATGTCCTCCATTTATGTATCTGATCTATTTATTATTATTTGTTTACCAGAGGCCTTGCAGGGACTTCGAGAACTTTTGGACGCACACCGTACCATATGGCGTCTCAACTTGGGTACTGTCATCCACAGCTGTGCTTGTCTGATTAGCGACGAGAACCCGTCGGTACGAAAAGCCTTGAAGAGTTTCTTTTCATGGTTTATACCACGGGTAGAGCTGGTAAGTTGCTATGTACCAAGCGATCAACTCCACCAGCCTAGTATCATTAACTGCTGACTGACAATTCTTTAATATCCAGTCACTTCTAAAGCCCTTCTGTTCGATAATCATCTTCTTCGCCTGTTCAGCATTATCCCACATCTTCGCAGACATCAGGGTCGATGCAATCTATATCATCGATATCCTCCTCGAGGTCGCCCCCGATTGCGTCGTTGCTGGCTGGCCTCGGGACACACGGCTCGATCTTCAACTCAACGGCTCAGATTCTCAACCCAGAAATCTTCCTCAACAGCCCGGCCTTCGACTGCTACAACTCTACCTATCGCTATTATCAATCGGCTCAGATTCCGCTGCTCCTGGGCTATCATCTACTTCTGCCAACCAACTTTCGGGAAATGTAAATCAATCGTTTTTTCTTGAGCATCCTGAGCGGTTACAGATGAGCCATAAGATCTCTTAATAACCGACTCTCTTGTTCTGTATTCTTCGATAGTCCAAATTAGCCGTTCTGAAATCTTTGGCCCGCTTCATTGACGCTGCAAGTTCACTCGACACCCAAAAAACTAGCAAAAACCAGATGCCATTGTGGATTTTCCGGAGCGCATTTCGCAAGGAACGTGATTTCGAGACCTTCCGAGTTTTATTGACAGAATCTGATCCCCCGAGCCAAGACGAGTCTACCAGCAACAGTTATACCATCAATTCAGAACACTACGACTCCACCAATAGCCACATGTTCGAACGCTTCAGTGAAGCTTTTCTGGAACCTGATAGTTTTCAAGAGAACCTTGGTAACTCGTCTGGCGCGGGTGGTGCCGAGTCAAGCGGCTCGTCAAACCAAACCACCCATAGTCACCCAACCCCCGACAACTCATTACAATTATTGCGGGCGATGCACCCAGTGATGTTATCGATCTTCCTGGATACCGCCCCTACGGCGTTCCAATCCGAGCTTGGCTCCACCTCCCCCGCCATCACAAGCTCGTCCTCTGGGGCTACAGTTTCACCTAGCTTGGAACTGGTGAATTGCGTGATAACCTCCCTGCACCGTCTGTGGCAAGCCAGCATGGCGGCCGATTTGGACGTAGAAACCAAGGACATCAAGTCCCTCGAAACCATTTTGATCAAAATGTCCCCCTATTTCGTATTTGGTGGCGACGATATCATCCCACAAGGAACAGAAGTAAGCTTTCTATTGTCAGGAAATCAACATAAAAAACTCAAACACCTGCTAGAAAATTAAGCTCATTGGAAACTCTATTTTTCAAAAAAAAAAAAAGCTGAAACATATGTTGCAGAATTTAAACCTCATGTATTGCGATTTGGTTTCCCTGTTAGCACTAGCCAAGCCGGATTGTAGCAATACAGTTGCGATTCAATTGAACCGAGTTGGCAACTACATTACCAGATTACTGGAGAACAAGGTAAGCTCTAAACACCCGAAAAAATCTTTCATCCAACAGTGTCGGGACGCTAAGATCAGGAACAATACGCAGGTGATAAGCATGAACAGTTCCTCCGGACCCATGCAACCGGAAGCATACCGCAGAATCTTTCCGATCGTTTGGTCTCTATTGAAGCACGATCTGGTTCAACGCGAGAACCCGAAGGCTGACCGGGATAGTTGGGCAAGTCGGGTGATCGAAGCGTTCATCGATCACTTGAATGGCCTCAGTCCTAACTCGGAACTCAAGTTTCTTGGGCTCAACTTTCTTGCCAGGTTATGCATCGTAAGTCCTTCCCTTCCCTTCTCTACTAATCAAAAAAAGCAGAAATATGTATATATATGTGTGTGTGGGGTTTGATTGATTGATCAATTGGTGCGGGGCTGGGTTAGTTGGACGATTTGCCTGGCTGTCAAATCGCCTCTGAGCTCGACATTCTCGCCCCCGAAACTCAGGAAAAGTTGCGCCAATGGATGATGGGACTTCCGAAGTTATTATGGCAGCTAGGAACCAAGAATCCGACGACCTCTCATGTCAGTCATCAAGCCCAGATTATTATATTTCCCTTTGAACCTTTTTTTATACTGACCAAAGAATCCATCAATTTTTTTTAATCGACAGCTTGTTCTTTCGTTTCTACATCGAGTCGTCAGTCGACCGATGATCTTCTTCGAAGCTTGTCTGCCAGATCTTGGCCGCTTACTGGTCCCATTCTTCTCGATCGACCATCCCACCTCCGGCCGGACCCTCCCTGGCCCGTACTCGCGTCTGCCCGACTCCTGTAGGAAGCTCTCTGAAGGGATCTGCTGGTATCTTCTTAACCAGCCAGCGCTTCTTCTCCAGTCTGCTCCATTGAGATCCGCTCTCAGAGTCTCTAATCCTTCGTTCGAACAATCCTTGATTTGCTCAAGTTGAGGATTTCCTCACTTTCATCCTTCATTGGCTTCGATTCAATTTTTGTTTATAATTTGGAGATTTGCTTTGTTTTGTAAACGGTATGCTGTGCTGGAGTAAGACCATCCCAACTGTTGCTGGGTTTTTCTGGTTTCTGGGGGTCACATCAGCCCACTGCATAATACAGATTTTGTGTCCCAGCCTTTGTGTCGCTGAGAGATGGTGTTATGATCCAGATAATAAGCAAGCACACCATTGACCAGTGTGATTCGGTGTTACTTCTCTCAGTGTTGGTCTACACTTGCTCATTGAAGGTAGTTTACAAGTGTAATACTGATGGGAGTTAATTGAGCCTACATATATCTCAGCTGCCCCTTTTGCGTTCTTTGAGAGGAAAATCAGATGGACTATGTAGAAAGATCACAAGGCAAGCAACACGCATCTACAAACTCATTATGATCTTGTCCCTACAAATTGAATGGACATGTGCTACCTTCAATCTGGCCTTGAGGTTTTTAAACAACAACCGCAAAGAAAATGATATTTATTTGTGTGACGCTCGTCCTGCGTTGAGGATTTATGCGTGGCGTCGTGTTTTGGATAAGAAGACTGTGAGGATGTGGTTTCCGGACTGACTGGATGGATAGTTGGTCATCAAGTCAAAAAACTCAGCGGGTGGTGACGCTTCCAATCTCTTATATGTACCCAAAATGGATCCATCCGAAGAAAGTTTACAGAAACTAGTCAGCGAATACCAAGGTGGGTCTGCTTGCTTGATTGGTTGATGCTGGAGAGGACATAAACATTTATTTGATATGCTCATGGCTTGTTTTGTGATCGGAAACTTGAAAGAGTTAAACGGATCGGCCATCGACCAAGTCAGCGACAGACTGCCAACAGCACTCGAACTATCTCGATCGATTGCCCGCAATCGGCCACTGGTGATTCGGTCGTACGCTGGACTCCAAAGAGCCTCTTCTTCTTCCTCTTCTTCTTCTTCTTCCATTGAAGAAGATCATCATCATCATCATCTCGAAGGTCTCGAGGAATGGACGGATCCGAAGCTCGTTCAGAGGCTTGCCGACCAGCCCATCACAGTAGCAAGAACACCATTCGGGTAAGTTGTACATCGGCCATCGATCATCCCTCATCTTTGCAGCTTCTCCCGACGATCAGCAACCTGACAGTCATATCCCTTGGAAAAGTAACGCTGATTCTATCGTGGATGGCACATATTTCGTCGAACCGGCATGTGTGTATTTAAGCTCTCTTTTGAACACTCGATCACACACTCGACCCTTTGACTGCCCTTTTTATCGCATGTATAAGACATGATCTGACAACTTTCTAACTTTGAACTTTCTGATGCAAAAATCGATCCTCCATGCAGATGAAAAACTTACGATGGCTGATTTCCTAGCTGAATTACGCGGCTGCTCGGGGCCTAAAAGCAGCCAGGATGGCTCCACAGACGCGGCGAATCAGGACCGGGCGTCTCCAGGATCGAGTCGAGGGGATGTTGTGTATCTGCAGTCGCAGGATGGCAACTTGTCGAAGGAGCTTCGTCCACTCCTTCCCAACGTGGGCACCCACGTACCCATAGCCAGCCAGGCGCTAGGTATGCTCATTCACCAGATTCACGCGGTTCGACCTTTCTTACTCATCTTCTCTTGCCTCAGGCACCAATCAACCTGACGCTGTCAATCTGTGGATTGGCGATGACCGTAGTATTACTTCACTTCACAATGGTGCGTAAAACATATTGAGCCGGATCTTTCTCTTTTTCTATAGGTAACAGACAACCTGACAATATCCGCAACCACTGCTGCTCAATTGAAAGATCCATATGAGAATTTCTATCTATTGATTGAAGGATCGAAGACATTCACGCTCTTCCCACCGGTGGAGTACTATTGCATGCATGAAGGGCGCTACCGATCGAGCCAATACCACTGGGCCGAATCGGACCAGAAGTGGACGATTATCCCGAAGAGCTCAGAGGAGCAGATCGTCCCGTGGATTCCGATCGATCCTTTGGAGCCCGATTACAACACTTACCCCCGCTTCAGATTCGCTAGATCTATGAGCGTCACACTCCATCAAGGCGACTTGCTTTATCTTCCTTCGCTTTGGTTCCACCATGTTCAAGCCCACAGGACGACTCCTAACGGCCTGATCATCGCTTGTAATTGGTGGTAGTTGAGTCACTTTCCTCCTTACTTCTTCCCTTTTCCTTATATCCTGCGCAGGTCACTTTTGCCCACTGACAAAAACCACAATACTCTATTATGTTAGTGACATGAATTACGAAGGTGCACATTATGCTTTGTTTTCGTACCTCAGAAGACAAGTATTGGCTTTAGATCAATCTGGCCTACCAAACCCTATACCTAAGGATGTCGAATTTGGGGATGGTTCGATTTCACCCTAAACAATCTTATAATGTTGTGTTCATTGTGATCAGACAGTTGAACAGAAGTAGGAGATCATCAAATGGATGGAACCAGGACTCCAGGAGCGGAAAGATTTTGTGGTGGTTCCCAGGAGGAGTATCTCTATGGAGGACATTGGAAGTCCAAATACAAAAACCAGGCTTAAAAGATGTGAAAAAGGAATTCAAAGATTTTCACTATCCAGTTCAATGACCTGTCAAAGGATGGCCTGTCTCAAATTGGCTAAAGAGAGATCAAAACTGCAAAGTAGTTTGACAATGATGTTTTGATGTACAGTGGGTGGACCATTATTTTTGGCTGCTTGTTTTGGATTCCAGAGCTTCAAAGCACAAACTTGAAGTCACAAGAATTGGTGAAGTGGTGCAGAATAGGTCCCAAAGAATGAATATGAAAAAATCAAAACAAAAAACAAAGTTTCAAAATCTGTGAAACATAAATTAATATTTCTTTTTTCCAAAAGCTTTGATATTCATTTTGGGGAAGTGGGAGCACTGGAAGAAAGAAAGAATGGAAAATGGGAAGAATGATTATAAATAAAAATTCCAAAAAAAAATGATTGCCAGTTGCTCCTACACAGCTGTTGAGTAGGGCATTCACCAGCTCACGTTGTAGTACAGCACTAGAAGTATCTGTTTCGGATCCACTGAAGGCATCCAACCTGACTCATGAGGTATAACTATCACATCGTCCGGTAGGGATCACTTCCGCTCAACGAGATGTAACAACCTCATTCATTGGAAGGAATCGAGATTTTCGTTTCTTGTTGACCAGAAGGATTTCCTTCTGGTCATGGGAGCGTCGGCTCCCAAACCCCCTCAAGCATGAGGGGTGGTTTGGGGCGCCGACTCCCTGAAAATTAAAAAAAATTAAAAAATAATTTGATGGCCGACTCCCACAGTCGGCCATCAGTTTGGAAGAACGACCCCCGCCTTAGAGATTGTTCGTCCGTACTTTTTGCAGGTACCTGGTACCTCCTGGGGGGTACCCCTTGCACCCGCCCCGCACCTGCCAGGAGGTGCCAGGTGCGGTACTTGGTACCTATTTTTGTGAAAAATTGAACAGGTACCTAGGTACCTCCACAGGTACCCCCTCACTTCCCTACCAAAAATCAAAATGATGGTGGCCTTCTACTCCAAGAACTCCAAGATCCAAGAAGGTACCTTGGATGCATGGAAACAGGGACTCAAGGATAACAAGAAGTCTAACAAAAAATCAAAAAGGAAGGTGATGGTTTTGGATGACAATGAAGATTCTTCCAATTATTTATAAGTTTTAGATAGTTTCAACTTTTCAATAAATTATTAAATATGAACAAATGAAAAAAGTGATGTGGGACTGATGTTTTACAATAAATATGAAAAAATAGAAAATTAAGATTATTCCAATTAGATGTAGATATATGACAACAGATATTAAAAAATGCCAAAAAAGTGACTTGTGAGTGATATTTTACAATAAATATGAAAAAATAATAATAATAATAAAGTGACTTGGGACTCTGGGAGTGAAACTAGGTGAAAAAGAGAGGGGGGGTACCTGAGGTACCTGCAACGGGTACCTTGGGTACCCCCCGGGAGGTGTCTGGTGCGGTACATGGTATCTATTTTCTTGAAAAAATGAACAGGTACCTAGGTATAAACAGGTACCCAGGTCCAACCGAACGATCTCTATCCCGCCTGATGACCCCTCAACCAAAATGGGAGTTGTTGGCAAAATTTTGGGAGTTGTTTTTCCAACCCCCTATTTTTTATTTTTCACAAATTTTGAAAACTAGGGAAAAGTGTGGCTGCCGCCACGTTTACCAATTTTTTCAACCAATTTACAATCATATAGCTACGAGTTAAATGCTTAAACTTAATAATTTATTTATGATACTTCAATAATGTTTTATTTGCAACATTGGACGTACTTTTACTTTCAGTCTCAGATAATAGACCAATACAAAGACTATCTAAGGAAGTGACCCAGGACAATGCAACATACAACTGACCATGGCCATGTTGGAATATGCTTATAGTCTGATCAGTATGCTTCTAACAAAACCAAGATTGTATGTAGTCTACGCCAGCTCCATCTCAGTAGATCTTCCTCACTGAATCTAAAACCACTTTTATCTTTGTGTTCAGTCATCTGTCACAAGACTCATGTCTGTGACTCTCACATCTCAGCCTTGTCCACCTCAACAGGTCAAAGACAGGCTGTGGTAAACAAAGTCCTACCTTAACTAGAGATTGGCCCTGGCATTTGTTCATTGTCAAACAAAATGCACTAACCACTGGGTATTGAAATCTAGAGAAATTTGCCCTGAACTCAAGATCAGGTTAATGTATGAGGCTTATCCTGGGTATCATATGTATATTACTGTAATAAGGGCCGTTCACAACCTTGGATTGAAGAATCTTAGGTTGAATATCCTTGATGATAAGTTTTGTCCCATTAGCAAGGCCGTCCTTTGAGCATAGATTCCTTAACAGCATAATCAGCGTGTCTTTTTTCAATCCGAGCTTATGTTCCATAAAATTAGCAATGTTTACTGTATTCAGGATCTCTTCTGGTACGGCTCTGTCCGTACAATGTGTCATCTGAACAAGCAAGAGGGAGAAAACATCTTCCCAGGAACCAATGCTAAGCACTGATCATTGATGAATTTGATGTGTTGGTTCAACAGCTTTATAATTTCCCTAGACTCATAATAGTCACCAATCCCATGACCTAGGTTCTTGGTCCATGACATAGGTAAATATGAGTAGACAAAAGAAATTAACCGTGCAATCAAACACAATTTCAAATATGCTTCAGAATTTTGAGAGGAATTTCTTGCCGCAGGGCCATAGACTTTGGATGGCATATTATAAGATCAAGAGCAGACACAGAAGAGATGATTTTGATTGGTCGGAAAAGCTCTGCGCTGTTGTTGAACAATGGAATTTTTGAAGCGGTTGCGGCCTGGTTCAAGTGTATTCTAGTTGAGCAGTGCGCTTGACTGAGGATTGAAGAATTATGATCTTAGCAAGCAATGTGACAATAGGGATGTTGATGATTCAATTATGTGTGTCAAAATTCTGGGTATAATCATCAAACTTGACTGAGATGAATTATAACGCAGTCAGAGGTTTGCGACATCTATTTCCGGTCCAAATCACATATAAAAGAATCAGAGCTTTGCGATATCTATCTACATTGACATCCGTGCTTAGTACTTTAAAAGGAAGAATGTTTTATTGGGATAGGCAATCCTCCTGAGCTCAGCTCGGATTAACCATTCCTCAATGTCAGTTTTAGTGAGAGTAGTGTAAATACTGAGCATGAGATAAGGAAGGTGACGGATTTGGAATTGGGCTGGAAGTCCATTGCTTTGATTGGAAGAGGTGTATCAACTTAAGCGGTAATAGTCCTGATATTTCACATTTGTGTTAATACAGCACGTTGTTTGAGTTGAATAGGATCTCGCTTCGGCTTTGGGAACATCAAAGATTCAGCCTCAAACAAAATTGGAGCATCAGTACAAACTTGTACGACGGAGTGGCAGCCCGAGACCTAGATATGTTGCAACTCGTATGCTAGTGAGGAAATGAGTTAAGCTTGGTGAGCGCAATGGCAGGGCTAGTAGAAATTTAGTCACCAGTCTGAATGTGCAAAAAAGAATAGGACTACATTCAGTGCTGAATCCTGTCTATTCTGAGACAATCCTCTGCCCCAAAGACAATCAACAATGAGTCAAAGCTTAGACTGAAACATTGAAGCTGTGTTCGTGCAATGATACAGGCTTAAGATTGTTAAGTAGAGCTAGTTCTCAACCATTGTTAAGCCTGCAATTCCATTTGGATCTCGGTCTTGTCAGTGTGCATTGAGTAGGAGTTGAAATTTTGGATGGCGGTTGAGGATGCGGTTGAGAATTGGAAGAGGGAATTGGGCAAATGGGGGAGGAAATAGACAAAGGAAGTACACACAACAAAACAGGCAACAAGAAATGAATCTAATGTAAGAAAAGTGATTGTCTGGTACAAACAACAAAATTTACAGCAGCAAAGAATTCTATTTTAGGCAGAGCAATTGGTTTTGAATCAGGAAAAAAGATTGAAATGAAGTGAAAGGTGGAACTGATCTTCAGGTATAAAAGGAAGAGGTCAAGGAGTAGGTTCACAGGTAGGGGCTCCAAGACTTCAGGTCAACAACGGTACCCTTCACACTACAGAACAGAATTATTGTAAAAATTTCCAGTTTTAATGGAATTAGCTGTTTTGGATTTGTTTTTTTTTTCTTTTTATTTTTTCATATTCATTCTTTGGGACCTATTCTGCAACAATTAACCAAGTCTTGTGACTTGAAGTTTGTGCTTTGAAGCTGTAGAACCCAAAACAAGCAGCCAAAAATAACGGTCCACCCACTGTACAACTCATTGTGTTTTCTCTGAATCAAATGAAATACTTCTGCTCTGCCCGGATGCTGTTTCAGTTTGTTTTCAACCTGAATATACACAGCTCATTGTCATGGCAGTTGGTTGTAGTAAAATATGTCATCACATAGAGTGTGAAGTTAATTAGTAGATAATTGACCAGCAAGCTTAGCTCTGTGGCCAAAAAAGGATGAGACAAATTACATCAACAAAACCTGTAACAAGGAGCTTACTGCATCTTTAGAACCACCCATTCTTTGAGCCATACCAGACCCTCAGTACATATTATCATTTTCACCTCAACTTTCTGACCAAGGCACATCTTATACCTTTTCCAATTTATAACTCTTCTGGAGTTGGATCTCCAGTCTTTTATCTTTCTCTAATTGTATCCTTTAGTTCAACATTTCTAAATGTTCACATTTGTCTGGTGGCTATCATCTCATTGCTCATAAACCTCCTATTTTTCTTTTTATCAACAACTCAAGTAATTTCAGCCCTGCTAAATTCACTGGGGTCGTAGCATATACACTTGATGAGCCATTTTTCCAGAAATTAAATCATATTGGAAAACAATGAAAACAGTCTGACTGTGATTCAAGCCTCATAATAGAGGTGATATCAATTCACCATAATGTGTGATTGGGAGAGTGTGCAGAAAGCTAACCAGACAAACTGGAAATTTTTTGAAAAGTAATAAATTGAATTGAAAATGAGTGAGTACTATGTAGCTAACCAATTTGGGGTTGAAGCATAGATCTTGGGTCTATGAAAGGGTGAAATTGTATTATTTGGCTCTGAATCCTGTTCTTTTAGAATATTCTAATAATCTGTGATTCAGTTTTTTGATTGAGTAGGCAAAAACATCAGTGAAAAAACATTGAGTAAGAAAATGAATCTCATAGTTCTTGTCTTTGAAGAATATATTCTTCAATTTTTCTTCCTGTGACTGAATGAGAAAATTTCTTATCCATTCCCAAACCCATTTCAAATCCCTTTTTGTTTCCAGACAAACAGTGGATTTATTATTTCGAATTCCTGGAAATGGATTTTCCCAACTGCTTTGTTTGATCAGATCAGCTGCCTCTATTAGTAGGTTTGCACCATAATCTTGATAGTGCTTTGGGTTTGAGAGAAAGTGGTTCTGAAGGATTGTACCAATCATGTCAACATGGAATAAAAGTAAAGCCAAATCTCTTCCACTTGTGTCTTTTGTAGATTGTGCTCTTGGCACTTGAGATAAGTCGATTTCCTGGAAGTTTATACCAGTCCTTTCTTTCCAAAAATCAAACCAAAGGCTTTGTTGTGAATCTACACAATTCACTGCACTATTGAGTAAATCTCTACGTTCTGTTGCTGCTGTTTCAATGAATTCTTCATCACCCTCCTTGGGTATGACACAATTCATTGAAAATTTGCGGAAGAAGTGACTAATTCTTCTTGCATTGATCTTTGCAGGAATTGTGAGTTCATCATTAAAACAAAACAATCTCATTTTTGAAATAATCTTTTTGACTTTGAATTCATATCTTACTGATTTGTATTGAGGGTGTTGAAAGACATCCACATTGAACTTGAATATATCAGAAAGCTTCAAATCTGTCTGGGTGACTGAAGGTACAACACTCTTCTTGGATGCACTTTGTTTTACATTTCCAATTGAAGAAAATTGTGTATGAATAAGATCAGTTGGAAACTTGTCAATTTTCCTTCTTTTGGTTGGCTGCATACAAATCTCAGCTGTAGAAGCTGATGGGCCTTGGCCTTGGGGTGAGAGTCTGCTTAGGTGCTTTGATGATTCCATTGCCTGAGCCTGAATATGTTTTAAATCTTGATGGTTTGTTGAATCAGTCTTTACAGCTTTGAAGGGCCCCAATGTATCACCTAAGTATAGTGTGTCAATGTTATTATCAGATTCCTTTGATTGGAAACCTGTTGGACAACCACTGATATTGGATGCTACATCAAAGGATAATTCTCTTCCAAATAATCTGAATGATTTTGATTTTCCTAAGAACATTGTTTTAGGTTGAAAGATAGAGGCCCCATTTTCTTGATCAGATTGGATAGATGCCTTGTGGTTTCCAGTAGTCAGAGTATCAACCAGAGATTCCCTTGCGAAGTACAGAGTGGTAGATGGAGCTGGAGTTACAGAATCCATGTGGTCAGGTATGCTAGGAGTTGGATGATTTGTAGAATCCAAAGCATCGACCATAGTTTTTCTTGAATCTTTGATGGGGGCCAGTTGATATGTGAAGGATGAAGATGCTAAAATATTTTTATCTGCTTGGTCAAAGGAATCAACTTCAGGTATTGCCAAAGTGAAATGAGAGATATCTTCTGCTTTGGAGTTCTCGCAGCCAATAAGACTAAGGTTTTCTAGCCGCTTCAGGTCAATTGAAGCAGAACAAGTCATCCATAATCCCAGAGGGAAAAGGAAAAGAAGAGTCTCAAGACTATTAGGCATTGTCTTCTGGATCTGCATGTGAGGCCATCAGGGATTTGATTGCCTGTGCTGGTTTTTGGAAGTGCAGAGTATAGATCCTCTAACTTGTCACCATTCATGACACCTGGAAAACAAGTAGACATGACCATGACACATGGCAGGAATCCAGTATATAAATAGTATTGAGTATGAACATCTCCCGTATAACCATTGGTCAATGTTTACCTTCATTCAGTCTGATCAAGGGACACTTGACACACAAAATCAAACTCAATGGATAAAATTTGATCATGTCCCCTATAGCATTAATGATTTTGATTTGTTTTGAGAAAGTTGACTGTATCAGCTTGGGTGTGCCCTGCAGTTCCAATGCAAACCAGATGGGCACACTTCTGGATGGACAAGGAAATTCCATACTTCCATTTCTGTTCAAGGAACATTTCTACCACTCCTCTCTGCATATGTACTGCTCATTCTGAAGTGGAGGTGGTTTTAGATGGGAAATTGATAAAATATGAGGACAAAAATTGCAGAGGTTTGATTGACTTGAATTCTTGAAAAGCTAAGTTTCTGTATATTGAATGTTTCTTTTCATCTGAAAGTCCTCCGGGCATATTTGAGTTCCATTCAGTTGTAAAAGAGTTGGAAATTCACTGTCTGGGCTTTGAATATGACATTAATCTTGATAAGTACAGGGAATTACACAACAAAATTTCAAAACCAAAATCCCAGTATTTATTATTTTAAAGTTGAGAATTAGTTTAATTCAATTTCATGATTCTGGCAATAAATTCTAACTAAAATTTTGACTTTCAGGAGGCTTTCAATCAAGTCTAACTGAAAGTTTGACCTGTTTCAATCAAAATTCGGCTCAATTGTTGTGTCAACCTTATGAGGAATTTAATGGGTTTTTTGAAACTTGATAATAGATCTTGTGGGTTGGCTGTCAAATTCTCTCAAAGCATGAAAACACCAAACATACAGAAACCTATCTTTAAAAATGAAAATTCTCACAACATAAAAGCCCCATCACTTCCCCTCCAAAATTTCTTTGTTTCCAAAAGGTAAATATCATCTATCTTTTCACCCTTTGCATTTGTAGTCATAGAAAAGGTAGCATTTTATCCTGATTCTTACTTATTTCCTAGTTTCTTGATGTATTCAAATATCAAAAATTTATCAATTTCAGCTAATGATCTTTGGTGTAGTGTTATTCTTAAATGGCTGATGATTGTGTTCCTTAACGTTCCCAGTTACAAATACTACCTTGGTAGGTCTCACAAGCCATCTTGGAACAAGATTTCTAGAAAGGATTGCAGATTTTGGTTCACACATCCAACTTGGAAGATCAATTAAGATACTCTACATATCATGAAGTTACCTTCTCTATTATTGGCCACAAGCACATTAATTTATCAAGTGTGGGGTTTATCACAATTATTTGAATTTGATCAAAAATATTATCTCTCATTTGATGCCAAATTCAAAAATAAAAATGGGGCAGGTCTGCTTGGTCACCTCAAAAGAAAGGAAGGGGAACTTTCAAATGATGAAGGTAAATTCATCATTTTCAAAAATTTAGGCCCAAAAACCTTACATTTTATAAATGATAAATGTGACTTCAAATTGACGCCAGGACAGCGCACACACATTGACTTCACTGTTGATGATAGTGAGTTTGTAGCAACTGAATTTGATGAGAAGTTTTTTAATGTTCATATGTTCCGAAAAGTTAGGAACACCTGGAAGCAAGTCATACATGTAGAAAAGTCCTAAACTCACCCAAATTGAGATGCCAAATCAGCCTTAATTGTGTTGTATTTTTTTCTCATGCATAAACCCCATTTTTGCATTCTGAATTATGTTTTCTCATTCCTTTATAAACTTTATCAGAACTTTCAGATCTATGTGTCCATTCAATTGATATTCACCTCTCTATAGCAAGCATGTCTTACTTAGTTGTTATGTCTGTTCACAAGCACCAAGTAGCCAGAGACCCTGTCTTTCAGGGTATATGATATGCCAACTAAGCCTTTTATCCTCTTGAGTGTTTCTTGTTCATTTTTTGGTGTTGTGAATTTTATCTGCTTGGTTTTGTTCTATTGTGTTTTATTCAATTCTCTTCAACCAAAGCTGGGCTATGTACTAAATTATTGGGAGAGACCCCTCCCAACAAGCTAGTATTGAAACCAGCTTGTTGATAGAGACCCCTATAAGCAAGCTACATATTATTGAACCCAGATTGTTGGGAAAGATTTATTCTGAAAAGCTGGGTTATGTGACAGCTTTTTAGGAGAAATCCCTCCCAGAAATCAGGATTATGTATTAGCTTGTTGGGAGGATTCTCTCTCAACAATGAGGTTTTGATACAATATCTTTGGGAGGAGCTTTTCCAAACAAGTTGGGTTTGATACCAGCTTCCCCACCCAGAAAGAAAAGATCTGGTTTTGATACCAAATTTCCAGGAGGGATTCCTCCCAACAAGCTGGTACATTATCCAGCTTTTTGGAATGAATTGCTCCAAAAAAGCCGGTATTCAACCCAGCTTGTTGGGTGGGTTCTCTCCAAATAAGATGGTATTGAACCCAGGGCTTGATAATCACAATCCCACCCCATTTCACACACACTCCTGCACTCCCCTGGTCTAAGGGAGTGTGGTTTCATACTCCCTTTGGCCTACATGCTGCCCCAGTGGGTTTCAATGACACCATCTGGTGTCCTGCACAACTTGGATCTAGGTGTGTTCCCACCTGACAGAAAATTTGCTTGTATGTTTGAAGTGAACAACTGTTGGGTCAAAAATTGGAACTTGATTTATCAGCAATAAGATCTGATGTTGGAAGATTTTGGTTGATTATAATAGAATAGTGATGAGAAACTTTAAAGGAAGAGAAAAAGTGAGCTTATTGGCAGAAATATGTGGTTAGATGTGGAAGAGGGAAACAGTTGATCAATGTAAAGAGGGATGATGTACTCCCTCAAGACCTAGGGCCCCAAATTGGGTCCCGGGGGCCTGCTCAGAAGGTCACATGCTGGTCACAACAAAATTTACCAGGTTTGGGAGTTGTTACTTCAACTACTGCAAGTTTTTTTATTTAAATACCAAGATTTTTGTGTGTTGAAATGGCACACCATTGCTGATTGGTTGCACTTGGATAGAATTGGTCAGAGAAACTGGTGATGTGGTGTTCCAAATATGTTTCAAGTATCAAATCACATGACACTATGAAAAAATCTTGCCAAAATGGTGGCAGTTGACATGCAGGTTACTCCCAATCTAACTTGTGTCATACTAAAATCTATTACAATGTAAACAAGTTCTGAACAGTGAATTTGCATTGAAGTATGGCTGAAGCAACAGCTGACCATAATCTGAGTCACAACCCAACACAAGTTTGTGCATATCAATTGGCAGCATTTTCTTAAGATTTTTTTTACAGTGTGAAGCCATGTTTCACTTTTGAGAATTAAGAAGCTATATTCTAAGGTTTATTATTGCATATTTGAGCTCTACAAGTCATTTAATCCATATTCACTCACTGGAAACACTGGAGTAGCTCTACTCAGGCAAAGTTGATTTAGATTTTAATTTTATGATAGAAAACAAGTCTAAAATATGGTAATTCTGTTCTATCATAACATGAGTAGGGCTATTCTACTGGTGGAACCAAAACTTCTATGTAATGCTTACATAATCTATCATTCATGTTTACAATGGAGTAGGCAAAAGCATCATTGAAGAAAGATCCAGCAGATTTCTGAATGTTTTGGTCCTTTTGAAAAAAGATGTCCTTTAATTTTTGTTCATCTGATTGGTAAATGATGTTTTTTATCCACTCCCAAATCCATTCAAATGCTTGCTTGGGCCTGGCATATGTTTTGCTGCTTTCCACATATAAGTTGTGATTTGGCAAATTATTTGAACTTTCTTTGAAAATGTAATTTCTGAAGGATTTTTCTTGGATGCTTGGTTCAATCAATTTTGCTGCAAGTTTCAGAAGTTTTGCCCCATAGTCTTGGTCAACTTTTGAATCAGTTGAACAGACTTTTTGAAGGATGGTTCCTATCATATCAATGTAATAAAGAAGCAAAGCAAAATCCCTTCCAGTGCAATCTTTTGCAGAATTCAATGTTGGATCTTGTGCCAAAGACATTTCCCCAAATGGAATCCCTGTCCTGTCTTCCCAAAATTGAAACCATCTTGCTTTCTGTGAATCTATATGATCCAACACAATCCCAAGAAGTTCTCTTCGATTTGACTTTGCCACTTGTTCAGGAGATAATGAGATTACTCCAGCAGTTGAAATGTTTTGATTTATTTCTTGATGGATAGCTTTCTGGATAGCTTTAGGTAAATGCCGCTTAGAAAACATGTTAAAAAATCCAAAGATATGTGTTGGACTCCAATCATGAGGAATTTTTAACTCTTCATTTTGATCAAGTTCTGCAATTCTTGAGATTATTTTTTCAGCTTTGATTTGATCTCTCAAGGAATTGTATCTATCATGTCTAAAGACAGCCGCATTAAACTTGAAGATATCGGTGAGCTTTTCGTCTTTTTGTTCCACCGGGACAATGAACTTTCCGGATCCCCTTTGCCTCGAATGAATTCGCATAGGACTGATATTTGATGACGGCGCGCCAAGCTTAATTTTTTTGGCTTGTTGAGATTGAGGATAAGCGTCAAGCCTTGTGAGGTTGCTCGTGCGCTTTGAGGACTTCCGCGCAAGCATTCGAAGATTTCTTGCAGATCGATGGGTTGATGCTACATTTAACTCCGACTCCAATAGTGGAGCTGCTGTAGCTTGATCCGAGTCTGGACCTTCTACTGTTTTCCCTTTTTCTCTTGGGGGAAGAGTAGGTCGCTGTTGCATCTCTTTCAATTTGGATGGCAACAACGAGATGGATTCCGTTTCTGGATGAGGTTCCTGAGCGTTAGTATGGGTCTGACTCTCCCGAGCGCCGTTGAGTGGCGTCTCACCTGGTTTTGATGGTAACGAATCCTGGAAAGCGTAGGGCGT